AGAGAGAGAGAGAGAGAGAGAGAGAGGGAGAGAAAGAGTGAGTACAGATTGTATTCAGCTGTGTATGAATGAAGTAAAACTTAAAAGTGGTCAGGTCAACATGCATTTTATCATTCAATATGAATCATCCTTTCTTGCCTTTCAGACATCCTGGTGCTAATTGTAATAGCCAGTGTTGGTGGAGTCTTCAGTGTCGCTGCGTGCCGCCAGCATCGCTATCTAAAACGCAAGATTTCTCAGCTCCGCCTTTCTCCATTGCAGACAACGATAAAATACTCTATCCCTCCCAAGGGAGATGCTAAGACCAGGCTGCTTTCAGATGATGATGATGATGATTTTGATGATGCAAATGACGATGAGGATGATCATATCTTAGAGATTGTTAGCAAAAGGTGATAATTTTAGTAGTGGATGCTTTCAGCAAGATGCCTGGCGTGAAATATCATCAGCTTTTTAGATTTATTTTTATATTTACAAGAGTTTTTCAGATTGCTATTTGCTGTATTCATTATTCATGATTTTGATATTTGCAAGAACATATTTTTTTTCTCTCCTACGTATACAGTTTAAATTACAGTTGAAATTGTCTAAGATGGGACCCATTGTTTTGGAGAAAAGTGGCTGTTTTAGACAGTTACAGTCTTAGGCAGGACTGATCAAAACGAAGAAAACAAAAAATCTCCATCTGGAGGTGGTCACAGGCTTAGGACTGCTGTAAGGCCCACTAAAATGTCACTGACAGGTCAACTTGGGTAAAAGATGGGAGGAACCTGAAACCTTGCCTTTTCAGTGCACTGGTCTGTGATTGGTTGATTCATAGGAGAGACAGACTATAATGACAAATGACTGGATTATGAGGGCTCTTCAATAGCTCCAGGGGTGGAATACAGTTTAGGGCAATGAGTCTAGGGATGAGAAAATTTGTGTGGCCATCTTGGATAGTTTTTTTTTTTTTACTGTTGTTTGATGAGATATAGTGTGTATGGCTGTATTGGGCAGGTTGTCGTTTTAGGCTGTATAACGATAAAGAAAAAAATGCCTGGGGAAATCAAAAGTGGCTATTTGAACATGTGGTTGTCTTTTACAAGTGGCCATCTGGACAGGCTCGACTGTTTTTTTCTTTGGTAGTGTTGCAAATATTTCATAAAATGACATTGGACTGTCAAATGAAAAGCTCTATATAATGGGTTAAATGAAAATTTGTTTCTTGTCATGGTTTATTGATGATGTTGACAAGAAATAGACTAAACAACAGATTTTGACTTTTCTTTTTCTCTTTTCTTTTTCTCTTTCATTTCTTTTTATATAGGGAGTGTATACAGACCCGTTAACCGGGAACAAAGTCACAAAGTATACAGACCCGGTAGGGGAACTCTTTTGTGATTTCGGAG